AATGTAACATTATTAAACATCTGTGATCACGTAATTACAAGGAATTCCTTTGATTGCAATATGTCAACTGACCAACAAACAATGAGTATTTCCCAAGATGCTTTGATCTGAATGAGTAATGAGATAACTGACATCACACCTCAGAGTGTATAGCAAGTGGAATGTTGATAAATTCCAGTATATAAACAGACATAACCTACATGTATGTAAATTACATTAATTTACTAGTAATACTCCTTGTTACGTTTGAGTATATTTTATGTATTTATTATTTGTAGTTAGGGTTTCATTGAAACATCATATTGTCCTTGGTCGCTTTATGTTGTGTTCTTTTGTCAATTTATCCCTATTTTGCATATTTATTTGTACTGAGCTAGGGAGTCTGCTTTAGCTATAAAAGCCTCTTGTTTTACGTTGACAAGGAGAGACTGTAAATAGACGGTAAACTGATAGCACTATAATTTTTACCAGTATCACTGACTGGTTCTTCAGTTTATAAGGAAATGGGGTCTGTTCTTGAATATTCTTAGCTGTCTGGTCTGGTTTGTGTGTGCGACATGTTGGAGGAAGCTGCAAGAGGTCAACGTGGGAGCTGAAACGTGGTATGCTTCGACAGGAGACGGGCGATGAAAGAATGAAGATTGACACCAGTTGGGAGTCGCAATAAATGAACTTAATGTATATATTGTTTGCATGTTACTGCTATCAATTTGTTTTGAGGTGTGTTGTAGCACACAAAGTCACTGCACAACAAGTTGTGTGGAACCTGTATGTAATACAGCATACTTGTTTAAGAGTCGTACTCTCAATTACTGGCTGGAAGAATTACATGAAAAGAGTTATATTTTGAGAATGTTTAGTTTCAGATTGACAACATAGCTAACATAATCTAAACAAGAAAAATCAAGAAAGTGACTGGCAAATACTACATGAAATTAGCATGTACAAAATAAAGCGATGCCCCCCCCCCCCTTGTCTTCCCTCCATTATCAAGTTTGCAGGGTTCCTAAAAGTACCGATATATATATTTTTTTCAACTCTGCGATGATTTCTGCCAAAATTTTCCACTTCCTCGAAGTCTGAAATGAAAGAGTACAAAAAAGATTGAAGGATTCTCATTTACCAGCAATAAAAATAACTGTGTGAAAAAAAAAAAGACTGACAACAAATATTGTGAAACCTGTCGAGACTGAACATCAAACTGTTCAGTTCACAGATGTGTTCGGTTTATATAGGTATACAAGTCATCAGAGAAGGGGAGCAAGTCGGTGAAGAAGGGAGCTGATTATAACCATAGAAGGAGTGATAAAATTGTTTGGTTTAACAGATTGAAGTGTACGATTTTATATATTATATGCTAGGAAAAGACATGAATGTCATGATTGCACACATACCCTTTCACTTTAGACGTCTTCTTTGTTGCTTTTTGGGGTTGTGGTTCAACTTCCCTAGAGTCTGTGCTCATATGTTGATCGTCAATATCAGCCGATGTGGCTTTCAGTGTCTTTTTTATGTTTCCAACCTAATAACAAAGACCAACCAACATTACCTCAAGAGCGTTTCTGTGCCAGGTGACAGTTTCTGTCATTGAATGTCAATGTTATCTCTCTTGTATATTTTAATCGCATGGGTAATTGCACATGGAAAAATGTTTACTGCGCATGTAGTGTGGTTTGTCACTGAAACAGTATTCCATATTTGGGACATAAGTACAGGGATTTGTGGGATTGGTATCCTAATTGAATCGCTACATTGTGGCATCAACCAGACCCTGTTGAGCATCTGTGAAACAAGCTACACCCTCAAAGTCATTTGTTAGTGAATAAATCTCAGTCATTGATTTTCATCTTCCTAATGGTACACTCAAGCAAAGACATCACCTCTCAAGATTCAAACTCTGGACCTACTGATCATGATTCCGACACAATCACCTCTACTCTACTGGAATTATTCGGTCACACCCTGACACCCTAGCAACCTGAACACCAAAAATGACTTTGGGTGGGAAAAAGAGGGTAATCAATCCAACATGTGCACAGCAAACACAATTTCTTTATTTAAGAGGGGAGGGGGTCAAGTATACTGTGCACATAATTTTTTAAATTTTACTTTGCCTTCATTTTATTAACCAAGAGAGAAGGGTGAATATTTAATGAGGAAATTACGACTGTTGAGCGCTTGTTTAAATTAATCATGGCCCCTCAAGTCATCGCGACTTACACCAGAAGAGAATCACAATGACTTACCTCAGTTTCAATTCTTTGCTTTGTTTTAATACAGTTTTCTTTATACGTATTGGCATGCGTTATTTGTTGTTCTATCCCGCTGAGCACCGTCTCACATCCATCACACCTATGTAAAATAAATCATTTATATACTGTATATACTCTATTAGAAGTGCATATTATGGTTTACTTTGTCCCCATTAAAAGCACAGCCATATGTTGTTTTTTTTGTCGTTGTCAGAACTGGTTATATCCTCAATTTTTCATTAAAAATAATTTGTATTTATTGAATTAACTGATTGCAAAATGACAAAATAATAAGGTGAAATCGAACATCTGAGATGTTGATATAAATACGATACATAAAAACGTAGCACCCTCTAGTGGCACAGTGCTGCTGCTACTGTACTTGATCCTGTTAGCACCCAGTGACCTCACTACATCATGATTTTGAAAGAGTGGGTGGCCATGGGAACTAACATGGTTGAGTGAGGTAAGTATAAATGAAATAGATGGATGAAAGCAAAAATGTTGTGTTTTGAATGTAGTAAAATTCAACAAAATTTTAAGCTAGCATCATGGGGCAAAATGTATTGTTAAAAGTTACTAAGCATGTTACTAAACCAACCTATACATCATCTGAAAAGCTTAGATATAGACAAACATGGTAGTACATCTTGCCATAACAATATTTGTCTAATGCATTTCCCTATTGTACTTTCATCACTTTCAGTCATATATCTGATTTGTTTTTTAGCCATAACCGAATAACAGACATGATACTGACGACAAATTGTAAGTAGAATCGCATGGCAAAAATGTGTAATTGGACGATGCTATTTTGAAATTCACAGAATAGTTCAGTGTAGACTCAACTACGCCACACTAAATGTTACCTGAGTTGATAACCTAAAATTATTTTTCAATCAAACAGATTTTGTTTAAAGATCAACTGTTTTCAAGGAAAGAAGAGGCAGAACAACTCTGCAGAAGATGACAACATTTTATAAAAATAGTGAAAGCATCAGAAATTGAAAACTTCTTACCATTCACCGAGAACTTTAACAATATGAGAAATATTTTCAGGTCTAATGTCTCTACCGATGGCGTAATCTACTTCCAATTGTTGATTGTTTTGATCAAGCTTAGCACGGATTACATCAGCGTAAATACAATCAATGATTAAATCCTAATGAAAAAATATACAAGTATCAAAATAAGTATATGTACGACATTGACAGGGTATCCATGGCAACCAATTGCACGGCCAGTCTGATTGTTGTAGATAGATTTTTCGACTTTGGTGAAAATTTTTTTTTTAAAAAGGCAGTGGACAATTAAAATTTGCACAGCAAATGTAATCTTTTCACTTTGAGAAGATGGGTCAAAAGTTATTTCAATTACATTGAGTTTTTTTCAAACATGCAAACTTTTGCTAAGAGGGGTTGAATGTTTGATTGTTTTTAGCCCACATTGGGATAAATTTGTTCACATTTTTTTTTAATTTTCACTGAATTCAATCTTAATTTTGGACAGAACAGACAAAATGTGACCTTGCTTTTATTTTGTAACCAACAATTTAAAATATTCAACATTTTCAGTGGGAAATAGCAGACTATAATTGTAACTATTTTGTTAATGGAACCTGAACTTGACTTTGGCACTTAAAGAGTTAAACAAAAAAATTGTATTTACTGTGTGCATGTTTTAACTACAAATGTATATATGACTCCTTAATTCATTCATATCAATGCATTTTGTTGAAATGTTCAGCTTAGCCAATCAGTTAATTTGAAGACTTGCCTCCAATTCACGGACATTTTTCAAATCCAGTTCTTTAAGAAGTATAGAGTATGAGATACACTTAGTTTTTGCAGCAAGTGATACGATGGTAAGATGACGTAACTTTGCTTTCTGTACAACGGTCAACTCAGGATATTTAGACGTAGTAGCTGAAAGAAAACGAGCAGATTATTGTTGTTTTTCCCAATTTTTCAAATTTTTGCTGTTAGAAATTTGTGTGATTAAATTAGGCAAAAGTCAGTGACTCCTTAGAACTTCAGTAAAATTCAACATGACTCCTTAGGACTCAAGTGAAAGTCAATATGACCCCATAGAACCCAAGTAGAAATCATTGTGACTCGCTGGAAACCCAGTAAATTCAATGTGAACTCTAACAGGACTGATATTGTAAGACTCAAGAGTCAAAATTGAATCCTAAAAGTTTGTTTACTGCTGGAGAAGTTGGTTTTTAAGGAAAAAAAAAAAACTTGCATCCAATTGTATAGGCAATAAAAATGTTGCATGGACTTCCGTGATTGCGTCTATCACTACTAACTGGTAACCGGTAGTTGATCCGCCGGTGCCTAATTCATGATCGCCACATGCCAAAATTTCAACTCTGTCTGGTGCCATATTGGGGTGTAAAATACAATGTTTTCCTGGCATTGGTGCCTAATTAAAGGTGGCGCTTAAAGACAAATACAGTAGATGTCTAACAATACAAAGTCAACATAGTTAAAGCTGACTGACTGTTGCTGGTATTATGGTATAGTAAAATAATGACTAAAATTAGATATTCTCGATGACCAGAAATGTATCAACTTTGATCAACTTTCCTGTTTATGGTAACTAATTAATCGAAGAAATGCATAATTACATGACACTTACCTATGTATTCATTATATGTACCAAACGCAAATAAATTCAACACATTCAAATATGACGCATTGGGACCATCCGCCAACTGCAAAACAAAAGAGAATAGCATTAATAAGACAGAGAGAAAAATGAAAAAAATGACCTAATTTTCATGCCAATGTCTTGCCTGGGCAGTGCCAGAGCAAGTGGCAGGGTGCAGAACTGACTAGAACACGTGGATTGTTGTGCTTGATATAGTTCTTGTTTATACTTTGATTCATTTGAATTGAGATAACAAAAAGGAGAAGGAATAATGTCAGGAAAATTCCATTGAAATTTGCATGAATATCCATACCATTATGATTTGTCTTACAACAACAACAAACTAAATAGGTCAAGATACGTCCTACAAACCAACAAGGCCGCCAGCCTGCTATTTTGAATTAAATCACAAAAGCCATGTTATTTATACAAAAGTTTCAAAAAAATTAACAAAAGCTTGCCTGAAAAATGTTGCTGAAATGTTGAAATTATGTGGTTCCATTTTGCCACCAGTCAATCTTTTGATGAATCAACAAAATCAATTTGAGGTGCAAATGTATACCATCATGTTTGGTAAAAGTGTATCTGAATGATAGAAACACAAGAATAAAGAAAATGGCCACCAGTTGGCCATTTTGAATCAAATCACAGAAACCCATCATGAGTAACAATAACACCAAGTTTGAATGAAATCGACCCAGGCATGCCTAAAAAACGAAAAAAACGACCACTAGTTGGTCAAAAGTCGGGGTCAAAAATTAGCAGAACAAAAAAAAAAATCGATTTGCGTGCGTCTCCCATTATGACTTGACTTTGTACCAACCATGAATAAAATCAGTCCAGGCACGTCTGAGAAATGATATTAGTCTGAAGAACTAGCAGAAGCCAAACGATAAGATAATGTTTCCGACTGTTGTCCGATGAAAACTACCAAGGATATATGATAAATAGAGATAACTTACCTCTTGTATATGTGGCATTTCAAGTAGTTCACCAAACACATATACACCAGGAGCTTCCAATACCTGCTTAATAAGCGCAACTACAGCAGCACCTTTAGCGGACTTGGCCAATAAGATGAACTGCTCTAGAGGATGATTGGAACCAACTTGCTGTTGTTGTTTCAATTCAGACATTATACACTATGACATAAACGGGAAATATAAATATATACATGTACAATTGTAAGTGAATGGAAGCCACCAGTTATTAAAGTTTAAAGCGGGAGGGTCGTCACCTGCTCACGCGTGGGAATTTAGTCCCAATCGACGATAACAGGTAGACGCTTGTTTGTAAACAGTGACACGCTATGGCCATCTGACGCATTCGCAGGTGATGACTTCCCCGCTTTAATTATAATCCAAATCAAGAGTTACAAGGCGTTCCTTCATTGGCTAGAATGCTGTGTCTTATGGTTTGATAGTCAAGGAAGGGGTCAGCGTATCAGTTCCTAACCCCAAAATGTAATTGTACATGCCCCTTGATATTTGTCCTGCAGAGGGGCATATATAATTAAAATTGGGGGTGGGGCAGGTTTATGGTTAGAGTTGTGGATGAGGGGGCCTAAGGAACTTTTACCCACTAGGGCTATCATTAGTTCGGCTAGAACTACTTTTGTAAATGCTCCGGCATCACCACCGTATTTCAAATTTTCTGGTAGAATAAACACTCTTTTGTCTATCAATTAATCGCATAACAGGCATGTACATATCGACAGATTTGTAATGATGTAATTCTTATGGAACAAGAAAGCAACCTGGAGAGTGGAGCGCATCTTTACAAGTTTTACGGCAACATCGTGACGTTTTACGACAACACTTCAATGCATCTAGCCGTGGTTTCACATTGTGTTTGGTCCGAGTACCTACTAGGGTCAGGCTTCTTCTCTCGATATATACACGTCATCATCGGTGTACAGAACGGATCCTAGCCCGTACATCGACGTTACAATTATATATACCGAAACACGAAGTTTGTGGCCTAATATCCTGACGTAAAATCAAGACTATATCATGACGATCGATGTTTTTGTCACCGGCCCGTACTATACGCAGTATGCAGTCATATTTATGACGCAACATGTCTTCAAACGTCGGTATTACTAACTTACCTATGCTGTATAAGGCAGGGTATAAGATACAGAAAAAATGCGTTCGTCGTACCCGTTGTTTTATTTTTTTTACAGCTCTAAAATCAACTTCCGAGTATGTATGTCATGCGCAGACGAGTAAAGTAAACGCAAACAAACATTGAGACCCTTTAACAAATTGGTAATGCACTGGCCCCCTAAGTTGGTCTATAATCAACTTGAATTCAAATGTATTTTCATCGCTCAATGGAATTAGATGACAGTACACAGGGCAGATATAGGATTTTTTTTTCAAATTTATCAATGGAACTAGTAACAGCGAAAACATATTTATTTTAATTTTACAATAAATCATAACCTAACGGGAGGCCATAGAGACGAGTACCCGATGCCTTGATTGTCTAGCACGCAATTCTCTCCAGTTTTCGACTTTTGAAGCAACCTTTTCAACTTGTTATGCATTGGCAGTTTTTCAACTTTATAGAAACAAAATGTCCGCCAGTGAAGTTATAGGCACTTTTCCGACGAAACTTGTTCGACTTTTCATGTTTTCATTTTCCGACATTACAGAAAACGTTTTTTCGACTTCTGTGCAGGTCACGGTTTTCCGATTTCCCATGCAGGTTTTCTGACATTTTAGGCAACTAGTTCAATGAGACCTTTTACAAACATGTTTAAAGGGCGGTGGTCGTCGCGCAGCAAGTGTTTCGAATTTCATGCAAATAAACAATGTATTCATGCGTTGTATAAGTCGCCATGAGTCCCATATCGAACAGGACGCAGCGCGACGACTGCCGCTCTTTAATACTGATTACATAGTACGCTACAAGTATTCCAACTTTTTGTGCAGTTTTTCATCTTATTTGGAAACTGTTCCTTCTAACTAGACCATAAACGGCATTATTCATTGCGACAACCTTTCTGATATTTACGACAGTTTCCTTACTTCACATGCAACTTACTAGTAATTCTCAGATCCCTTTATGATGTTCAAAATAACCTACTTTTCATGCACGTTTTTTTTTTTTTTTCAATTTCCAGTGTATTCCAACATGGGTGACAGCTCAAGTTGTCCGACTTTCCAGGCAACTTTTCACACAACTTTTCTGCCTCTCAAGTTAATGTTTCTAACATTCTAGTTTTCCGATTTCTATGCAATTATATCTCTTTTCTCCACAGTTTCCGTACTTTTCAGAAAACGTCTAACATCTTTCCCGACTTCCCAGAAAACATATTCGATTTTTTATGCACATTTCCTTTCGAGCGACTTCAAGTTCTGACATCATTCCTTTCAACCAATTAACAGTATTATCTAATATGTTTATGGCAATATATTTCATTTTAATTAACTGATGTGTTTCACTGTATACCGTAAATCTTGTTTATTAAAAAAAATAAACTATAACTGTACATTGTGTTAATTAGTATGCAAATTAATAATTAAATTAAATAATTAAACCCTGAGACAATTTCTTGGGGAGAACACGGATGTCGACTTACAATGTCTTCGATTATTGCAACATTTCCGACATAGAGAAATGTGATCGTAAATAATAATATAATATAGAATTTATAACGTACATAGGAATATACATTGTGTCGATTTTCTCGCTGACCTATATTTCTAAAATGACAAGAGCCCTCCAGTGGTTCGTGATGATATCAAAACAACGCGCCATTCTCTCATAGAATTTATAACGTACATAGGAATATACATTGTGTCGATTTTCTCGCTGACCTATATTTCTAAAATGACAAGAGCCCTCCAGTGGTTCGTGATGATATCAAAACAACGCGCCATTCTCTCAATGGCGACGTATTTGACCTATAGTCGAAATGATTACGGTCCTAGCAGTTTTCACTAATTTTCTTGTTTGATGTGATAATAAAGACATCATTACAACCAAGTTTATTTGGTATAGGGAAACATAATGGTCTCAGAGACTATGTAGTTTGTGTGCTGCTAGTTTCACTGACCGGTTACAGTGGTTCAAGTAATTATTATCTGTTTTGAAAAGCACACCAAATTATTGCACATGGTTGGTTGCAAACAAAAATAAAACATTTTGTCATCATAAAAAACACGTCTTTGAACAATACATGTAAAGGAGAAAACAACAACAACTGTTATTGATATTATTGATATTCCAGCATAATTTTTGAAATTAAGATTATTTTACAATTCAGGCAACGTCTTCAACTTTCGATGCAACTTCAGGCTTATTAGACAACTTTTCTTCTCTTCCAGACAAGGTTTTGGATTTCCAGACATTTTTTTTTTCATTCTACCCTTCCAACTTTTCAGACAACTTCTTTGAATTTTCTTCGACTTTCCATGCAATTTTACCGACTTTCCCAGATCCAGAATTTTTTCCCCGAGTTCCCAGTGTGTGATTTTTCACTCTTCAGGCAGCTTTCTCCGACTTTCTAGACAAATTCAAGACCATCTTTCTGACACGCGTGTTTTCTGAGCTCGATACTGTTTTCCCGAGTTTCCATTCAACGTTTCTGAACTTGTCGACTTTCTAGACAAATTCAGACAACTTCCACCTCTACAGACAACGTTTTTGATTTTCCAGGCTATTTTCCGCGTCTTTCCAGGCAACTTTTCTGATTTCCAGAAAACTTATCTTACTCTCTAGGCAACTTTTTCAACTTTCCCGACAACAGCGAGAAATGTAATCAAGTTGGAAAGTCTGGTTCATCGGCTTAATTTTCCTGTTGTGCTGCCCTTGTGCCAAAATGAGCCAGGTGGTTGTATAATTTAGAGCGTGTTTTTCAAATCAGAGGGGCAAAACAAATCTCGTAGTTCTTCCCTTCTCAACGAGATCTCAACGGCCACTTGTTGGTAAGGTCAATTGATGTAGAGTATCAGCAGTCAGACATGTTTGTACTTGCCGCCATGACAAAAGCAGACGTCTTTCTGCACACCACTCTCCACACAGAGGGCGCTGGTAGGACCGAAATGGGAGTAAACACTACGATAAAGACTTGCCGTTTTCGACATTGTGAAATTCTTTCGTTTTTATGCAGAAAAATGCAGTATTTTTAACAAGCTAAATCATATTTATTAAAGTTATTGTTCATACATGAGTTGTTGAACACACTACATAGTTTGTAATTTCATTCAGCTTTTTTCAGTCATAATTCAAGACAAATGAAAGGCAAACATATAGAGAATATCTGTAATATTCTTGTGTAATTGGTATTATGAAAATTATTTATGGGTACATAGGAAATATATTCCCTTATGAATTATTCTTAATATAAATAGTTATTAACTGAAAAAGAGAACATTGCCCGAAACGTACAGTTATACTATGAAGCTATGATGAGAACACTGCAAAGTATGTAGAAAAGCAATAGGATTAAAGCGCAGAGATCGTCGCGCTGCGCATGTGTGACATTTGTGTTGATAAACATTGATTTTCCCACAATCCAATGCGCTCTTCAAATGGAATTCGCAAGTCTGAGGTTTGACCTGGGCGCACTGGTTACCGCCGGTAACTCCTTCGATACCCTCCAATCACCTAATTAAAGCTTGGAAACGCCTCCGTACTCGTTGATCTGCGCAACGGTCAAAGTCGCCATCTTTGTTTGTATGAGACCTATATATCTCGCGCATGCATGGCGCGACGACTACCGCCCTTTAATCAACACAATTTCCAGAGCCACAATGAAAATGTACTCTGTGTTCAGAGAAAAATAACTGTTTGTGAAAACATTACGCATTTCAATAAAATGTATGTATTCAATTTGTTATACGTTTCGACGGGAAATCCAACACAAGTGTATCAAATACTTCTGGAAAATCTACATCATACACCTTTTCTACAAATCGCGCCCTCTAGCGACAAAGTGCTTCTATGACGTAAATGGGTCACACGAAGGCCGTTCAAATCAATGAAGATATGTTTTTGAAAAAGAAAATGCTTTATGACAAACGACCAGACATTCGAACAAAAGACATTGCCCTAACCATACGCCACTTCCCCGGAAACCAAAAATACAGCGTTTCGCATGCGCGCACATACCGGATCTGGGGTGTAACGTTATATTGTGCTTGAACTAATCGACGTCACAAAAAGGAAGTCCCGATACTCTGTTATCAGCGGTCAGACATGTTTGTACTTGCCGCCATGACAAAAGCAGACGTCTTTCTGCACACAAGTCTCGTTACTTCCGGGAAAGTCACAGACGCATCTCAACACTAGAGGGCGCGATGTAAAGGAATAATGTAATACTTGTAGTTCACCTGGAAGTTTGGTTTTTCATCTGTGCACCTCTGACATTTCGATCAACCTTACATAGTCAACTTTTAATGTATTCTTTTTAACTTTTCATGAAACTTTCTTTTTTGACAGAATTGCTGACTCTGTAGGCAGTTGTATCTTTTTTTGAATGCTCAGATAATTTTTTACTACTTTTTCTTTGCAATTTGCATGAAATTTTCGCCTTTCATAATCAACCCTTTTCTTTGGGATGTCTGGTTTTTAATCAAGGCCTTTGATAACTCAGAATGAGGTTATATGTCTGACTGCCTCAAAACAATTATTTCTGCTAAGGCCAGACTTTTATTATCCCTTGTTTCGCGAACCCGCCGAATAAACAGGAGCTGAAAATGAAATAAAAATAAAATTTTATTTCAGCGTAATTTCTCGCGCCCGCCGAATTGTAAGTGCAAAAAATTACTAAAAAAAATTATTTTTATCTTCATTTTTTTTTCGTCTGCCGCATAACAAATCCAAGTTGCATTTTCGTGGGAGTATCATGATCAAAGTACCGAAGTCTCGCGCAGATGAGAAACAAGATTATACATGGAATACAATTTTATTTTATTTCATTTCCTCTCTCCGATCAATGATCTCGCTTACAATTCTTTGAGAATCACACAAATCTAATGGGGAAAAAAAGAATTAATTTTATTTTTTTTTCCGTCCTCCTCAAAAAATTTGCCTTATAAAAACTCGAGAAACGAGGAATAAAAAAAATTTGGCCTAAATGTGATAGATCATTCTATTGAAATCTACAAAGCTGCATGATTAAACACGGTTCATCTAGTAACCGTGGATTAAATATGCGACAGACGACACAGCATTTTGCTCTTTCGTAGGGGTCAGACAAGGTGATCCCCTCTCACCTCAATTGTTTATTCTCTTTGGAAATCCTTCTCGTTAATTCGCAAAATAACAATGGTATTTGTATAAAGGGTTTTGTATAAAGAGTACTACTCATGTTCTTGCTTTTGGCAGATATACTGTCTGCTGGAAACCTACTCTCTCTACTTACAAAGTCTAACTTTGCAAAAAGTGATACGACCCGTATATGATCGGGACGCGAGATTTTGTCAAGAAAAACCCATTGGGGGATATAATGATATGATGGGGGATATAATGATAGGTCAGCAAACAAAACTGTTGGGATATTCCTTTTTTATATTGCAGATGCCACATACGGAAGTGCCTTTCAAAGGTTTAACAAGTGTGCAACCTAACACTTGCGGACAAAATTTATATTACTGGTTATCCCAAAATTTCTTTATATGTATTATCAACCTACTTAATATTGATCAATGTGACATCAAGCACATAACACAAAATTTGTTGCCTTCCTGTGGAATAGGCATTAGAGAATTGCATGATTGGTGACATAGGTCAAGGCAGACTGATATTTATTGTGTTATTCACACATACCTCACATTTACCATAAATTGTTAAATACTTTTTGCTATGAAACCATTGCAAGTATATATTCGGAAAATGAATTGTTATAATTTTTAATAAAAATATTTTTGTTAATAAAACATTTTTTTACCACATTTTTTTAATGCCAGTTAATTTATATAAAATTGCATGTTTCAGACATTCTCAACCAAATTTTTCTGCACTTTTTCTTATATTCTTCAATATTTCTGGAAATGTATCCTAATTTTGGAGCCAACAGGCTAAATTTTAGTCAGGTTTTAACTCAAAAAATTTGGCTATTTTTGTCCAATCTTCTGAAGGAGAGTGTAGACTATTTTGTGAATTTGTGATGAAAAGGAGGAACTGGTTAACGATCAGCAATGACAATTACAACTCTTGTATTGAGCCAATATTATCCACAATTATGAAGAACTACTTAGACAAAAAGTAAAAAAACAAACAAATTTCAGACAATTAAAGTTTCCAAAACAAAATAGAATTAGTCGTTTCGTAAAAAGCGATATTTGTATTTGTTCCTAAACGTATCTACACATTTTCTGAACTACAATTATTGTTTTTTAATTTCAGGTAAACTACGTCACCAACAGGGTTACATTCAAGGTTATGTTGTATTCGTACAATTCCTTTGTTTATATCGGACGCACAAGCACTATTTAGCGAGGGGAGTGCAACTGTTCGCACAACGCCATCTTTTTTTCGTTGCCATTTTGGGCTGTTCATTCATCAAATTATTACTACAAATAGGAAATAGATGTACAATTATAAAGTTATGACGAGAATATTGCAAAGTATGCAATCAGGCAGCAAGGGAACGCACCGACTTACATGCATACTTTTGCATGAAACCTAATATACCATTTTCCGTTCACTGCAAGATCCCGCGTTATGGTTGAAATCGAACGCAAAAACAGGACAAACAAAGGTCATAGTGTTGTAGTGTCGACAAACATCGCGCGGGATTCGACAAACGTGAAAGTATTTTTGGGGAAACTTCAATGCTTAATAATACTACCGTAAAATCTGTATTAGAAGCCGCATCCCTAATAGAAGTCGCACCCATTCTTTTTGAACAATTGAGAGGCAAAAATTCATCATTTCTCATATGTGTAGGTGCTCTAATAAAAGCCGCATCCCCTCTGTTGCATTGTACCATTCTAATAGAAGCCGCGGCTTCTAATACAGATTTTACAGTAGTATGCTGTACACATTTCACGATGGTAAATTTCGATGATGTAAGGGTATTCAAACGCAATATTCCCCTGTCAAGATCGGCCTTTCGATGCGAGCTACGAAATAATGAAATTCGAGTTCAAAATCAAATCGTTTGATTTTTGCGGCAGACGTTCGGCACACATCTTTCATGCAACTCTCAAGATCTTGTAGTTGAACGGAAAATCACCTATTGTATCAAATCAAACTACAACAATAATTTTAAATTAAATGTGAAAGTAAAATGCATACATGATACCAGTTTGACTTTAAAAATTGTTTATACAAAAAGTGGTTACATTAATTTTTTCTAAAATTTCCTCTTTGGTATCCTATATATGGTCATATAAATTGTGTTAGCTCACCGTGTGATTTCAATTGGAGTGTCATATGTCACCCTAGTAGCATTCACTTACCTATTATCCACCCTTGGTTGTATTCAATCTTAATATAAGAATGTAAATATTCAAATTTTTTTTTTTTTTTTTTCCAATTGTGTGTTGTTTTTAGGGAAATCTTTTTATTATTACTTCACTTCATGCTAGTTTCTGAAAGGTTGGATGTAAGAGAACACAATGACGCATTGTTTGCTGATACTTAGTTGTCAAACAAAGTCAATGGGAGTGAAAAAGATAGAAATCCATGACGTTCACTCACACAAAAGGTCGCTCACAAATGTTTTGAAATTTTTGTGTTTGCAGTCATTCTTAAATCAAGAAACCACAAAAGATTATAATTCTTGTTTCAGTAAAGTTACTAATTTTCAAAACAAAAATCAGACAATAAAGCTGGGAGCAATTTATTAGTTTTACCACACACAGTACGATTCAAACGACATGAAAGTTCGAAAAATGAAATAGCGTGTTTTTTTTTATACCTTTTTATGTGAATGAGTTTCTGTGCATAATTCCCTGAGTACCAGTAAAACAAAATCTGTTTTCCCAAACACCCAAGCAATCATTTCCTGGCAGCTTCTTTAACCCCTTGAGTGCCAAGTCAACTTTATTTTTCCTTGATTCTCTCAAAAATATTGATCAAGACCAGTATCCAATAGGAAGTTATGTGCTTTTCTTCTAAAATTATCCAAGAAAAATACATTAAAAAGACGTAACGTTGTAAAAAATATTAGTGGAAAAAATTATGGCACCCAAAGAATAATATTAATATTAAGGTAAAAATATACAAATCAATCTTTCTCTTATAGTTGTACTCTGTGTATTAAACTTTTCTAGATAGCATAAATTTTCTAGTTATTGTAAATAATTTTAAGATAATTCTCAAAACACTGCAATTTCATCTTCGGTAACCATGACAGCAATGAATTCTTTTACTCAGTACTTATTCTGAAACGGATTTCCTCCAAGTCTTGGATAAACTGAAGAGAGTATCTTTTCAATTTGCAGAAATGCCTTAAAAGAAATGAATAAGAAAGAATGGTTAGATGGGAAAGACATCGTCAGTTGGGAAAGACATCGTTAGTTGGGCAACACTATCTGGGATTTTGTTAAAGGTCCATATTAAAGGACCATGTCTGTTGTCTGATGAATGAAATCTCCATAAATTTAATATCCTAACTGTGGCATAAAAGCACTTTTAATAATGACAAAATGTATCCATAGAAACAAAGATCACAAATAATAATCATCACTGAATTTCTTGATTCTTTCCTCTCTAGAGAAAGAGAATATAAGACTACATCATCAAATTTGTATGGTTATGCTGAAGTCGACTATCCATGGCAGTCCCCACGAACCTGTGCGTGATCAATTTTTTTTTTTTTTATATTTTACCTCAGTTAAATTAAACGATTTGATTACAAGAACATTAATCAGTATTCCTGTAGCAACACCTCTATCAATTTCAAAAAATTTGATTTAGCCTTCTTATATCATGTCATTGAACTTTGTGTTCAATTTACCATAGAAATGCCCTAGAGAATGCGATGTTGTGTCTGATTTTTTGGACAGTAAAACAGGTTCATAGTGAGAATTCTGCCAAGGTGGAATGGTGACGTGAGAGCTGATTAAATGAATCAAGGCTGGCAAAGATGTCAAGACCACTACTATAATATTTTATTGAAATTATCGTTAATTATGTCTAAAGGTGAAAATACGGGTTTGTGGATCGACTCTTCTTGGATATAAATTAAACCCTAAAATAATATGTCAAGTTTGCCAAAATCTGCCTAGAATGGCTGAATGACGGCCATTTTAGTGCTAAAAATCAAGCATTTCTGCCATTCCGGAACTGGATTTCGGTTGTGCATGGACATATGTTATTCAAACTTGGTCATTGATGCATGTCATTTTTTCCCCAGATTTGATTCAAAATGGCTGACTGATGAACATTTTGTTTTTATAACATGTGCATGCACTTGCTGTGTTTGTGTGTACAATGAAAATCACTGAACATGTGTATTTGTGCTTTAATTTTTACACCTAATGGATACTGCTATATATACTGCAAACAGTTTTTGTTTGTGAACAAAAATATTAAAATGTATGTTTTGTTCTTATCATATACCTCGTATTGCCCGGCCTCGTAACGCTATGGGAATCCCGATGCGCGAGCCATGCAATAATTTTCCATATCACGCCCGGGCCCCGTTTACCATATTTGGTAAACGCATCTATTTCCAGGAACTACTTTCTGTTTACAAACAACGCGCGTAATTTGAGTCTGCGCTTCGATAACGG